ACCCCAAGCTAAGCAGCAGTGCCTCTCACTGTGTCGACATCATTCCGCTTCTCCTTAAATGACACACGGTGGATTTGGAGGCAAAGAAGTTTTATTGTTGCCACCCTAGCATCCCTGACGCCTCGAATCTCGCGCCACTTTAAAAATGTATCCAGCAGGCTTTCTGTGTGGATAATAAAAACAGGAACAACAACACACGTTCAAAGACGAACATTAAATCACAGGCCCTGTTTCATCTTGGGTCTCCATCCCACCCCGCTGTTAGCAACATAGCTACGGCTGTGCCTGTTTCTTCAGTGATTGGTGACGTTGTTGTTTTTATACGAAGCATAAAATGGGCTGTTGGAGAGTCAAAGGGTCACAAGCAGTACTCAGTGTTTGTGAAGTTTTTCTAATGAAGGAGGCTTTGTGTGTGTGTGTGTGTGTGTGTGTGTGTGTGTGTGTGTGTGTGTGTGTGTGTGTGTGTGTGTGTGTGTGTGTGTGTGTGTGTGTGTGTGTGTGTGTGTGTGAGAAACGCCCCAATTAAAGGTGGGGTAGGTAAGTTTCAGAAACCGGCTCGAGTGCACTAAAATTTGAAAGTACACAGCGAAAAAGAATCCGCCCCTTCCTTCAGACTTCCTTACAGAGCACCTCCTCCGCGAGAGCAGGCTGCAGTAACGTTACATATCAGGACAAGCTAAACACATCTAGGTTAGCAATACTACACAGCCAAAGCAACCCCGATATTGACTCTGGTTTGACTTCTCCTAGTTTCCACTTTCTTTTTGTTCTTAATTTGCTCCGTTACATTTTTTCTTTTGCGACCAGTAGACGATGTTGAACCTAACTCTGCCATGGTGAAAGTGGCCGCCTGACCTGTTGCTGGCGAGTCATTGAAGTACTGCTGCAATGCACGCCCAATGAGGGCACGCCCAATGAGGGCACGAGATACATTTGTGCGTGCACGAGATGGAAGGCTGACAGACAGGGCGGCAATCCAATCGGCTAAACGGATTGGTTGTAGTTTTTACAGTATTACGGGTTCCACAGATGACATTTTTTTATGGATTTTTTGTCAAAGCACTTCCAGTAAGATATTCATTGCTATCTGGATGTTATGAGCATTCCATGGAATATAACAAAAAGTGTATCTTGAGCCGGTTTCTGAAACTTACCTACCCCACCTTTAATAAATGAGGTTCATCTGCACTCCAATATACAGGACATTTCCTATTAATACTAATATTCTTACTTTCTTAGTTTTTTTAGTATACATTGTATTGCACATTCCTTCTTTTTAACTTCTTATCTTTGTATGACTATTTATTTACATTTTCTAGAAATGTGAATTAAACATCTAATGTTAATTACATTTTATTTTGTATTGGACGTTTTGCTCTTTAATTATGCCTATATACGTATCTTTAAATTGTTCTTATGTTTATATATCATTTTTTGACTCTTTCTTTTAAGATGGATAAAGTATTCTGATTAATCTATACTAATATAGATGTACATGTTTTCTCACTCGTCCTCTAGCCTCTTTTCTATTTCGCTGACTCCAAGTGTTATCTCTGCTTGCATTGCATATGTTCGACATTGGTGTTATCGTCTATTATATACGGCTTCACTGCCTGTGTGTGTATATGCATGTGTCTCTGATTACCCCACTGTCCACTGCTTGTCGGAGGCCACTTTGTGACCGTTGCCGTGGGCGACCAGATGGCTAATTGAGCACTCTGTCATGTCACATCCCTTCACTGGGGACTGAGCCAATCAGCACAGGCCAGACTTCTCAACTGCCGCCCCCACAGACATCACAGTCCCATCTTAACGGAGTCCAGCTTTAGGGCCCCAGAGGGACTGTTTAAAGGCTCACAGACAGAGCCTTGTTACCACTGATACAGCATCAAGCCACTGGCTTATTTACATTCTCTCAACCTGAGAACTTGGAAACTATGTGTGTGTGTATGCGTGTTAGACTCTCTTCCCTGCAGTTTGCTGATTAAATTCTGTCCGAGTCCATGTATTTACGATGCTGCTATTGGCACACACATTGTCCGTGTTAGATTCAAAGCTAGATTAGAGGTCGCTACTTAAAGTCACCCATGCTTTATGTCGCCCTGTTTCTGATTGGCGCTGGAGCATTGGCATTCAAATAACAATAATTGTTTCACTTGCTACAAGTAGCTACAATGCATGCACACTTTGAATAACAATTATTCTTAGAATTAACACTTGAAATAAGAATGAGAAATATCTCGGGTAAAGAAAATAAATAGCAACAAAATAATTTTAATCGTACCTTCCTTACTAAAAAATAAATCGTGTCTGAATTAAAACCAATTACTTCTACAAACCTTGGCAAAAAAAAGGCTTATGGTTACACTCAATGATTTTCTTTACACACATCTTTAGCATGTAACAAGATCAATACATAATGCCAGAATATTTTTCATTTTATGTCGGAAATGGCAGTGGATTTATAGAATATGCAATTATATATCAGGGAATCGCTAAAGATGAGTAAAGTAAAACACATTTTATGTAAACAAATATAGCTTTTTATGGCTTCTCCATTGCATTAAAGATCTGAATGGAAAAACTTGTCCATGCTTTTATCTTCAGTAGACTGGACTACTGTAATGGTGTCTTCACAGGTCTCACTAAAAAATCTATTAGAAAGCTGCAGCTGATTCAGAACTCCGCTGCTCGAGTCCTCACTAACACTAAGAAAGTGGATCACATCGCTCCAGTTCTGAAGTCTTTACACTGGCTTCCTGTCTGTCAAAGAATAGATTTCAAAATACTGCTGCTGGTTTATAAAGTTTTGAATGGTTTAGGACCAAAATGCATTTCTGACCTGCTCAA